TTTAAAAACACTAACGGTTGGTTTTACAGAAGGGGGTTTTATGCAAGAAGAGCGGGCGCAAATGGCACACCCAAGAGAAATTTGAGATCTCCGCCTCTGCTGGATTCGCGAGAACAAAAACTACCAAAAACAAAGTTTGATGTATTTAGCACTCTCCAGAAATGTATATAAGAGTACACATTCAGAAAGAGTCTGGGTTGGAGTTTACCTTAAATATCTTGATTTTGTCGATTAACATAAGATTGCGTAATTAATAACATAATTTTTGTGTGAACAAATTCTTTATCATGTCAAGATTGAATTCTTTTTTACATTGATGATGTTTTTATTTATTCTTAAGGTTTGAAGGAAGTCAGTGTTACACTCAGAGTGCTTATCAAATCCAGGATCTAGAGGCCAGTTTTGCCACTCCATCCCAGAATTCATCATCTGAGGCATGGCATGATGGTATGTTTACTCTTACGCACATACACTTAAAATGTGTGTACTAAGATATTACAGTTACCAAGATTGTGAGGTCAATTCAGTTTTACTATATAGCTTCCTTGTGATACTATTACCGTTTTTATTTAGAAAACAGTATTTTTATTATTATTTAGAAAACTAATTTTTTACATTTGTTATTTAATTTGTGTGCTTCTGAGAGCCCCTGTTCATTTTATGGCACAGCAAATGCTTGTAAAATTCAAAATGTACTAAAATAATTTATATTAAAACATTAATACCAAAATATACTTTATTTAAACTCTCATAACAATGGCATTTTTAAGGACATTATCTGCTAAAATAATGCTGAAAGATTAACTCTAAGGTTTTCATTTCCAAACTATTTACAGGTTACATTGATGAGCTGGGAGATGGATATACTGAACATGTAAACCCGGCATTAGAACATCCTCAACTGTCTGATTTACCTCAAAGTACAGTGGTGTAGAGTTTCTGTAGAGATATTTGCCAAATAGTATTTATGTTAAAGAACTAGTTCACCAAAAAATGAAAATTCTGTCAGTAATTACTCACCATCATTTTGTTTTAATCCCCTGAGACCTTCATTCTTCTTCAGAACAGAATTAACATATTTTAGATTGTTCATCATAGACAACAATGGTCCTGAGGTGTTCAAAGTCCAGAAAGTGAACCAAAAGCATCATCAAAACTTTCCATGAGGTTTAAATTAACCATTATCTTGTGTTCACCTATTTCTTCTGCATTAGATCAGGGTGCATGTTTACTATGGGACAAACGATGCTTGTTTGTTGCACTGTAGTAATAAACACACACTGACCTGACAAGGGAGAGAAGCTATGGCTGACAAAAGTCATATTTACAGTTTTATTTTGTCATACAAATGTGTTCTTGGAGCTTTGTAAAATTACAGTTGAACCACTTAAATCACACAGAATGTTTTGGTTCCTTATTTTTTCGTAATCGTTGCTGTATATAGAGGATAAGGGAGCATATCTAAATTATCCTATTTTGTGTTCAGAAGGTGAGCAAAGTTCTCTCGGATTGGAAGGACATGAGGGTGAGTAATTAATAAAAAAAACTTTCACTTTTGGATGAACTAATCCCTTATTATTTGACCCTGTACCACATAACTAGTCATAATTTTTTGAAACTGATTCTTCAATTTTTTGAAAAATTCAATTTTTTCATCTGAAAGCTGATAAATAAGCTTTCCATTAATGTATGTTTGGGACAGGACAATATTTAGCCAATGTTTGAAAATCTGGAATCTGACAGTTCAAAGCATATGAAATAAGATGAAATTCTCCTTTAAAGGTCTCCAAATTAAGTTCTTAGCAATATTTATTACTAATCAAAAATTCTGGTTTCAGATTTTTATTATTTATGGTGGGAAATTTACAAACTCTGCATGTAACATGACCTTAAAATAATATATAATGACCTTGGTATATAAATCGACAATTTTCTACAAATATACCAACCAAAACCGACTTAAAACTGGTATTGTAGTCCAGGATCACATATATAAATAATAATAACAGCAATAACAATAATAATAATAATAATAATAATAATAATAACAATAGCCTGGTCATAAAACTGAAATGTTAAATATAATCTTTTCAGAGATGACATTTGACAGTCAGCCTAAGCCACACAGTGATGGAAACATGCCCAGGATCACTCTTAATAAAGCAAGAGTTTATTCAGACTTAAACGACAGCACCGACAGGACAGGTCTCAGGTCTGATTTTCCTGATGTGACCTTTGACCTGGGAGTAAACTATTGGGATGATTTTGATGACAGAAACCTGGTTGATGCAAGTAATGTATGCTGTGAATCCCAACAATTTAACCCGATGATAGAGCACCATCAGCCTGCACATTCTGGTTAGATAAGTTCATCTTATAATTTTTCCATTTCATTATATATTTTTGAATGTCTAGATTTTAGTAAAACTGTCCAATAATATGTATTTTTATGCATGTGGAGGTTTGTCCAGTGGTTTGTCTCATTGTCCAGCACAAACGTTGCAAGAAACTGTGAGTCCTGTCTTACCACAAAGGTAACTAAAAGGGCTATTTTCCCTCTTTATTCCAATATCTAGCAGTGATTCAGTTCAATTTGTGTAGATGTTGTATATATCTTTTTTTTAATCACTTAAATTTTTTTTGTTTTACTTATTATTTATTTAATATTTATTTTTTTATCTAATCCTGAACCAGTGCTATTTCATGCAAGTATAACTTTTGTGGATAATTCCTATTATTTTGTACGGTCTCTTTCATACAGTTTAGTACGATTTGCTCATCTTCCAATGACGGATGGTTTTACTTTGTGGGCTTAGGTGCCATGCCTTTTTTTAATTGTATAGTTTCACATGTCTCAATGGATATGAATTCCTTTAAATTAGCCACTAAATTGACAAAATGTGAATAATTAAAAAAAAATATATATATTTTTTTTTAAGTGTGAAACTTATATATATGTGTCAAAATCTCAAGTGGACGAAAAACATTGACAGAATAAGAGTTGTTCAATAGTTAGAGGGCAATGGTAATGAAAGATTCTGATCCACTTTAAATGTTGACTACTTTATGTTGAGTGACAGTTAAGGGGTTAATAAATTTAATGATTCAAGAGCAGTTATGCACAAACCTGATTTCACCAAGTAGGACATGTTCCTGGATTAACATCTACAGTATGTTGTTCCTGGAACAGCATTCTAAACAGCCAATCAGAATTAGGGGTACGTTAACAGTTTATGTTAAACTTAAGCTTACAGTTAGGTTTATGCACTTCTACATTATTGTCCAACTATTATTCCCCTCTGATTTAGTGAATACTCTACAGTTAGGGTTGGGTTTAGGGGTAGGGAATAAGTATGGATTACATTTTCTAACAAAAATGATGTCCCAGCATTAACACAGATGTTAATCCAGAATCGCATTGACTTGGCAAAATAATGGCGTGCAGCAGTTATGGTCCAGATGTGAAATGTAACTATGATGTAAATACAATAATAATTATCTGATGTTTTTCAGGGTGCAACCAATGGCCGTTACTCCTCAAACTGTAAGTATCTGTAAATACTTTTACAGGGTATCTGTAGGGCCTTAAAAAGTCTTAAAATATCTTAAATTTCAAAAAACAAATGTTAGGCCTTAAAAAGTCTTAAATCCACTGAAATATTTTATTGTAGGTTTTACATCATTTAAAACGGGTCTTAATTTTCCTATGTCTATGTCAATTGACCTAACACCCATCCAATCCTAAACAATATATTTCTATAAAAGTTTTAAGAAAAGTTTATTTATTAACTCTATTTACTATTTACTTATTTAATGTGGTTTAAATATTTTCCTTAAAATAACATTTGTTTTTAATGTTTTTTAAAGTTTTAACTTGGCCATTAAAACAATCTTTAGCATTTAGCCTTGTGTAAGTCTGAAATTTTATTTATTATGGTCTTAAAATGGTCTTAAAAGGGCTTTAAAAAGTCTTAAATTTGACTTTATGAAACCGATGGAAACACTGTTTTAACAATTAACTTAAATAAAAACAAAAAACAAATTTGATGTTATGTATTCTGAATATGCTATTAGAAAGCATAAACTTGTTCTTTCTCATTCCTAGTTACATAGATTTCATTTATTATAATTTTACAGGCAATGTGGACAAACTTGAACACAAACACCCTCTCAAGTGACCAGAGTCAAGCCAGTAAAGGTTCAGTCCAAAAAAGATTTGATTTTTTCTCAAGGACAGATGCAGCTTTAAAGGAAAACACACCTGTTGGCAGGTATTTCAAGATTTATTACATTTTAGTTATTATATTGCTAGTTTACAACATGTTAATGTTCATTTAACATTTGCAGTGATCACACGAAGGAAATCAGCGATGAAGCCCATGTTTTTTTTGGTATGTTTGATGGCCTTTTTTAGGTATGTGACTCGATAAGAAGAATCCAGGTTTCAATGATATTTGTTCATTTTATGGTGTTCTTGTTTAAATATTACTCACCCTATAGACATTTTACAACAAACAGCATCAGATGTGAAATTTAGTGACAAATAGATAGTTATTACAAGTTATTATTGTCACATGTTGAAGAATAGGGTTCTGTTGATTGGCTAAACTATAAACACACAAAATAAATATGATTACTGTTCTTAAATATATTTAAATGATTATATGATGGGTTTATAAATGTTATTTGAAATGTAAATAGCTGTTTATGATTGTCAGAGATGTAAAGTAAATTATAAAGAAGCGTTTTGTGTGTTTTTTCAGTGTTTTAGTTATTGAGTTAGAGTTAGTGAATAGTTTTAAGTTAGCTGTATATAAAACAATAAAACATTTAACTAGCAGTGTTTTCCTGTAAGATCATGAAACATATTTCAACCTTATGAGAGAAACAACATTTTTTACATTTATTATATAGCATTTTTTTCACCACACACACACACACACACACACACACACAAAACAAATGTGCGAGAGCAAGAAAATCAACTGCTTCATGTCAAGTACAGTTTAGCAAAGGTTTATTGAAATTCAAACATGATTTTTTTTAACAGCAAATGACTGATGAATCATACACACACGACACTCTTTTAATTAAAGACAGTTAAACTCAAACACAATTTTACTGCAAATACTAAAACAATTTCCTCAATCAGTAAAGACTGCTTCCTTCGTGCTGCCTACATCTTTGCTAGTTTAATCAAAGGAATACATCAGTATACATCAGTCAGACTAAAAATATCAAGTTAAACTTTGTATAACTAAAAAAAATTTTTGGTTGAAACCTGATTAACTGATTAATATTAGTTAAAGTAACATAAAAACATTTGATCTCATGACTTTTGGTCATGTTGATTTTTTACAGTGCAGTTCAAATCATTTGATTGGTCTGGCATGAAAGATTTCTTTTTTTTTTCAATTAGTTCATTGGTTTTCCTCAGATTCTCTGAACTTGGGAATGGCATTGGTACTGGCACTGGGACAGGGACTGGCCTTGGGTCTGGCACTGGGACTCTTCCTCTGCTGCCCTGCACTGAGCTGCATTGTAGATGTAGCCCTCTCTCGTCTCGGTTTTGCTAATAATAAAACAGTACAACAGTTAGTTTGAAAACTAGGAAATTCTTGAATAGATAGATCTCTCAAACAGGTTTGGAACAAGTGGAGGATGAGTAAATAATGAGAGCATTTTAATTTTGGGGTGAACTATCCTTCTGTGGCATGTGATAGTATTACAAATGCAGTGACTTACCATTGCATTCTTTTGTATGCGATGCTCATCAAAATTCCTCCCAGAATTAACAAAGCTGCTCCCACCCAGGCTATGTAGAGGGCAGGGCCAAACGTGTACCTGACCATACCAAATAATAATAGAAAAAGCAGGAAGTTATGCACTCAGTTTTTTACAGACACATGTGAAATACATGCCAGTGGATGAGTGCTGTTTTTTTTTTTTTTTTACCTGGAAGCAGATGGATCCATTGCTGCTACATTGTTTGCACACTGTACCCCTCCCTTCTCTCCTTGCTTTTGGTTGAACTGGGGCATCATGAAACTAGGCACTAGTTGATCAGCATACACTGATGCTGCAGCAATACCACAAATGCCTAAAAAGAAAAAAGAAAGATGATGTGAACCTTATATCATGCTATTATAATGTCTATAAACATAATAAATAGTGATAACAGAAAGATCAGACAGGTTTAGTTCAGCTAGTGAGTAATAAGTAAGCTTTTGTTTATATACCAGCAATGAAGAAAATGATCGCAGAACTTAGGATGAGTTTGGCCCTGGTGGAAAGCTGCATATTTTTCATTTTGAGGCACTTCAAGCAGAAAAACCCGATGAACACTGCGATCACAGCCACTAAAATCGCTATTATCATCAGAGCTCTTGCAGCCTGGAGTATTCCTTGAAAACAAAATATTGTCATTAGCATCTTTTTGTCAGTTTTGTTTTTGTTCAATCACTTCTTGATATTACTGTTGTCACCTGCTTGGAAAAAAAGTTAATGTGCATTTATATTGTCTTCTATATAGTGTGCATTTACATAGTCTTAAGTGAACAGTTGTGAGATAGAGCATTAAAAATAATGACTCATCATCAGAATCTGCATTATAGATCGATTAAAGTGACTGATCATTCTCTCATCATTTACTTACATATGACTTTTTTAAAGATTGTTTGACTGATTTGCTTCTGTTGAACATTAAAGAAGACATTTTGAAGAAAGCTGGAACCCTGTTACTAGGCATGGACGATGGGAACTGGTTTCAAGGTTTACCACGGTTTGGAAAAGTCAAGGTTTTAAAACCACTAAAATGTTCTGTTATGTTTTCCTAAGGTATATGTAGGGTTTTTCATTTATTTTTATTTATTTCAATTATTTAGCCTGACATGTTTACTCTTCCAAAATATTATAAGTGTTTGCTAAAATAAATTATACAAAAAAAATTCTACAAAAAAAAAGAAACTCATGAAGGGTTGAAACCACTTAAGGGAGAGTAAAAAGTGTGTGTGTGTGTGTGTGTGTGTGGGGGGGGGGGGTGCTCCTTGGATGACAGAAATGTCTGTCAACAATATAATTACATTATAAAATAACAACTAAAAATTCTCAAATCAGATTTTTAAAATATAATCAATATAACCCTGGAAAATAGAAATAAAATATTGCCAACAAAATTAGGCATGTTAAGAAAAAAAAAAAGCTCAATTTATTTATGGTTAAACTGCACTTGGTAAAGATTTTGCTGTATTATTGCATATTTATTTATTTTACCATGCGTTTAATGAAAAGTGATTTATGAAAAGTAATGAGGGTGAAATTAAAATGTCAGCTCTTTGGCACAATGAATGATGTTTTCATTAACAGTCAAAATAAACTATATATATATATATATATATATACACACACATTTAGCTTAGCCCAAGAAATAAATGTTTTCACATGAATAAATAAAAACTAATATTTTAATGCCATTGCTGCAAAAACTGCCTGTTTGAAATCAACAAAAAGATTTGAAAAATAAGCCACCTTTTAATCCCTTTAACTGTCCCACCAAGAAAAAAATATTTGGATTGCATTTCTTAACTCCTAATGTCGCTAGTTAACACCTTTAATGCATTTTTTTTCAACACATCCCATAATTTCTATAATTTCAACCTCTACCAAATGGTTGATATGTTGGTTTAAGCTAAAAGTTTTATACATATACTTTAGAAAATCTGAAGTGTAAGAACAAATTATTTAAAAATATATTCAAAATAAAACATAAAATCATCTTAATTTTTTGAAGTATGCCATAAAATATTTCAGATTCTCATTTAACATGTGTTCTTGTTTTTTTTTTAACAATAAAACCAAAATCAAGTGTAGTAGTGCAACAGGATTATGTATATATATATATATATATATATATATATATATATATATATATATATATATATATATATATTTATTTTTTTTTTTTTATGTAAACCAACAATGCTTTGTGTGTAGACTATTACTCAAAACTGACATTCTTTAAATTACTTTAACAGTCATTATTTAAAACAGTAAAATGGTCAAGTGAACATGGTCAACCATTTGGTAGAGCAGGCAGTTAAATTATACTTCGGTGTCGAGCGACCGCTATAACTACTACACCCTACTAAGGTTTAGCAGATGGTTAATCTCACCTGAGTAGTTGGGATGGCTGTAGAGAGGCTGGCACTCAGGGAATACAGTCCCGGACATCTCACAGTCCTTCCACAGACCCTTATAAGTGTAGATGGAGCTGACCCTTTGGGGCTGATCCTGTTGCTGGTTTCTGAAACACCAGACGTCCATCAGGGTGGCTGCAAAAACACCAGCCGTCCCGATGACGCCTGAAACGAAGCCTGTGGTCTGCAGAGCTGGGGCACTCATTCTGTTTGTTCTGTGTGTTCCTTGCTGAAGATCTGCTGGTGTCCAGTGTTGAGCTTCACTGAGTCTGGACAGGCTGAGGCTGCTTATAAACTGTCATGCACACTCATAAAGTGATGCTTGTGATGATAACCTTTGAGTGGTTGGAGATCCACCTACTTCCATTGCAAACATAAAAGAATTGTTTTAATCATCAAAAGCGCCATACGTCTGAGCATTAACAAACACATATTACACCTGAGGTCACTTGATGTGTAATACCTCAGAATGGTTCAGGCAGGCCTTAAACCACACACCTAATTGTTTGATCACAGTGACTCAGAGAGAAAACATTTACATCAGATTATTCCGCGTTATTTTGCCTTCGCCTTTGATTGTTCTTCTGCTGAATACTTTACTGATGCATGAAGAATCAGCAGATGATGAAAAGAGAATGAAAGCAATGAATAATTAGTTCATTTGTGAGTGCAGAAAGCCAAACGTGAGATGTTGTGAATTGAGTCGCGTGTATGTGTGTGTGTCATGAGTACAGGTTAGAAATGGTTTATAGCAATAAATAGGATGCACGTGATGAGACCAAGCCAAATAACTCATTCATGATTGTGCATGATATCATAACTCTGTAGCTCATTTATTATAGACAATCATTCAGGTTTGCTCCAGACATAAACAACACTAGTGACTAAGTGCACTTTCCATAGAAAACTAAAGGCAAATGCTATACAAAAATATATACACACACAAACCACATTTGAAGTGGATGAAAACCTTTCATCGAGAATTTTGAACTTTTTGGATCCACTTCAATTGTTGACTATATGGGATTATGTTGCAGTGTAATGTTATCATGGCCCATTTAAAAAAAAAGAAATAACTTTAACTCTCAAGGATGTTTCTTTTTGATTATTATGCCACTGATTTATTGTGTATAGTAATTGTTTTGTTTTCTAACACATGCACTGTAAAAAAAAATGTAAATCAGCACAACAACAACAAAAAAAAAACAATCCTCATTTCCTGTCGCTTTTTCTTGTTCCTTTAACTTTTGAAAACATCAGCTTCACTGACATAAATATATTGGTCAGTAAAAAAAAAAACTTTTAGTTGGGTTAACATAAGATTAGTAGTTATCTGGAAAGGTGAAATACCAGGCTGATCTCACAAGAAAACGTAAGTATTTGACGTTTTGCCATTTTAGTGGCTAATTCGTACGAATTCGTACGAGTTCAGTCGTACGAAATGGTACGATTTTAAAAAGGAGGCGTGGCACCTGACCCCACCCTTAACCCCAACCGTCATTGGGGGATAAGCAAATCGTACTAAATTGTACGAATTAGATCGTACGAATTCATTCGAATTAGCCACTAAATGAAAAAGTTACGAATTGCCGTGAGATTGTGTTGGAAATACTCTGTAACAAAACATTTTAAGTTGTGCCAACTGAACATTTTTGTCTGCAGAACTGTAATGCCTGAAGTTGAGTGAATAAAACATAAACATAAATCTTATTTCCTTTCTCTCATGTACTCTACTTTTTTTTAATGTTTATTTTTGTCAGCTTTAATTGACAGTAACGTATAAACCGGAAAGCATAGGGAGAGGGGAAATATCAGCACCCTGAGGTGGTAATCAAACTCGGGTTGCCATGAACATCAGAGTGCCATGTGTCAGCAAACTAACCACTACACCATTGGCACAGACTTGTACTTTTGAAAACATCAGTTGCATTGACCTAAAATGTCTGAAGTTAAGTGAACAAAAAAAAAACTCTTTTGGAAATTAATACTAAGAAATAATAATAATAATACATTAGCAAAACAAATGTTGATGGCCGGTGTCCTGCAGAGTTTAGCTCCAACTTGCTTCAACACACCTGCTAGGAACTTTCTAGCATATTTAGAAAAAGCTTGATAAAATGGTTCAGGTGTGTTTGATTAGGGTTGGAACTAAACTCTCCAGGGCACCGGCCCTCCAGGACCAAGTTGAACACCCCTGTTCTATAGTCTCTACTGTTCTGTCAATTAAATGTGAAAAAATGAGTTGAGTACATGAAAAAAACTAAAGTAAATAAGGATTATGTTTATTTTGGTTCACTCAGCTAATCTTATGTTAACCCAACTAAATGTTTTTTAGTTAGTGGTGTTTTTAAAAGGAAAGGAAATAGGATTATGGTTTGTAAGTTTTACTTAAGCAATGCATTATGATTTAAGCCAGCATGGATTTAATGTTTGTGTTACTTTAAATACATTTGAATACACAACACATTAGAATTTATGTTACTATAATGATAACTTACCAACACAACAGAGATCAACACTTGGCACTTCATTGTTTGTTTGTTTGTATGAACTCCAGATGTCATGAAGAACCTAGACCATAAGAAATAAATTAAACTAAATTAATGTAAGAACAACAGCTAATTTTTTGAACACTAGAAACAGTGCGTTAAGAAGGTTTTACTTAATTAAATTGGCCGTAGTAAATGTATGTGTAAATGAGTGTGTATGGATGTTTCCTAGTACTTGGTTGCAGCTGGAAGGGCATCCACTGTGTAAAACATATGCTAGAAAAGCGGTTCATTCCACTGTGGTGACCCCAGATTAATAAAGGGACTAAGACCATGAAAATGAATGAAGCTTTAATTTCTACAAACCTGAATCAAGTAATAAAATTAAATCTTTAAAATAAACCGTTTAACCCTCCTGTGAATTTTTTCAGTTTAATTAAAATACATTCCTAATACTGAGTAATGTTTAAAAAATTCACAGGCTTTAGATTTTATTTTCTGAAAGAAAGTGTTACTTTCTTTATTTGGCTGGAATTAAAAAAAAAAAATAATTCCTTTAAGAAATTGTTTTTATTTTATTATTTATTGGCTACAGAACAAACCATTGTTGTCAAATGACTTGCCAAATTGCTGTATAGTATCTTGCAAAATAACTAGTAACTATGTAGTCATCAAAGACAAACGAGTAATAATAAGTAAATGAGTAATAATTAGAAATTAACGAACTGTTGTTTAAAAATGTGTTGAAAACAAATTAGGTATATTCAGGAGGTCTGTTTGTGTGTCTGTGATCATCACTGTAGGAAAATTAAACTTGCAGTATATTTCACAATGAGCTGTAATTGCCTTATTAGCCAACTAATTTTCTAATAATATGTCTAACACCTTTACTGTTTTCCTCTTCCAAATGTAAAATTTTACATAAATTGCATCTGCAAAAAATGTATAAAAACATTCCTTTGACATTGACAGTATAACACAAGTTGGACTCAGTTTAAGCTTTGAAAACAATCATGGACAGTTACTGGCACCCTTGGTAAATATTGGATACGAATTTGTACTTTTAATCAATGACTTTTGATCTTGTATTAAAAGAATTGACAAAAACGTAACTTTTCATCGAAAGAGTAAGCTCATTACACATTGGCCCAAGTAATTGCCATCCCGTGAAATAGTTTAGTTAGTATATTTATATTCTTTTTTCATATTTTACAAGTGTGGAAACATACAACTGTCCTGTCCTGGCTTCCTGTTTCACGAGCAGTATAAATATTTGATATTTGTTTCAATAAAACATCCTGCAAGTTTTCTTGCTCAATCATCATCATTATAAACAGATAATTTATTTTATCAATCTGTAAAAACACTTCATTTAAATACAAAGTGCAATAAAGGCTCAAATATTTGCAAACACTTCTTGACACCAGTTCCAGTTTACTAGATGTACATCATTATTTATGTTGATGATGCATGTTTTACCTATTACACTGTATTAAAAAATATATTAATATGGGCACGGCCATGAAGGACAGAGGGAAGGTATAAAGTGTGAAAAAAAATTTCAATGTCAAACACACAAAGGCATTGTTAAGAAACTGCAATTGTTGAAAACAGAGAATGCAAAAAAAATCTGCTTTAATACTAAAGAAAAACATTTACAAAACCATTTCTTTACAATTGGAGATTTTTTTTTATTATTATTTTATCGATACAACAATGTTCTTTTCAGTTTTACTTTTGATAAGAACATCATTCGTACAAGACCAGACTCTGAAATGAAAACAATCAAAAATGTACAATTATTAAGAAAACACTTAAAAATATATTTAAAATAAATTCTAATTCACAATGAGAATGTAGTCAAGTGCTGGATTAAAAATATGTTTTTGAATAAAGAATCGTTTGTATTTAGGATTCTACATGCAGAAGTTACTGCTAACATACAGTATTGGACAATTTGACAAATCACCAAATAATTATTACAGTAATTCTGAATAATCAATGTCAAAAATAATTCAAGACTTCCATCATAAATAAATAAATGAATAAATACATGTTGTTATCAGTATTAGAATAAACAAAAAAATTTAAATCATAATAATCATATAATACATGATAGTAATTCTGTGAAAAACCATTTCAAACATTTTTTTCTAAAGTGACACATAAACCACAAATTATTTATATATATATATATATATATATATATATATATATATATATATATATATATATATATATATATATATATATATATATATATTATGTCCCTGAAATGGTCCTTCACAGAGTTTATTAACTTTATAAATAAAAAATTTAGAGAACACAATATGTTTAACCACTGTTTTCTGGGACTGATTGTGCTAAAATTCATCTTTGGCTCTGAACCACAACTAATTTAAGCAGCCTCACAGACCTCTGTCAAATTCCATAGAAAATAAATAAAAAATAAATGAGTATTACTAACAAGCAAACAAAATAAATAAATAATTTCCCATTAAAGTTATAACACTGCTAGTGTCTCTGGCATTTTAGCATGTAGAAAATTCGTTTAGACTGAGTTTAAAATAGTCTTTAACTGCACTTCTTTAATATAAAATTGTATTAGAAAAATGTTCAGGTGACGAGAAAATGTTAATACCCAGTGTTGTCTGTTAAAATCCTATTTATTATAAAAAGTGTGAAAGTAAATGTTAGATTCTATCAAAACAAGCAAATAAATAAACATGAATAAATACATATACACATACACACACAAATGAAAAACGTTATTGACATTTTTGGCTGTATTCGTAAATTAACATTTTAAAAACATAGTTTAAAATTGTCTTTCACAGAATTCCTTACATTTAAAAATGTCAAGTAATGGTAAAACAAACTTGCGATAAACATTTGTCTTTCTGTTTAAATTTATCTTCAAACACGTTTCAAATTAGCTTCACAAATCAGTATGTGAAAACAAATGTCAAATTCCATCCAATCAAAAAATACAGATGTAAAAACGAAAAACAAACCAATAAATTGCCTAAATAAATGAATTACACAAATAATTTTAAATGTTTTCCATGTTATTAAAGCTACACGTGAATTCCTCTTAAAAGGGAAAAAGGAGCAGTCCGCGATCAGTCATTCACAGTCACTGCATCGTGGAGTTGATGGCAGAGTTGCTCATACCTGGAAACACAATGTAGGCGAGAGGAGGAGGACTGAGGCTGGCAGACCAGTGCGAGCAGCTACAGGGCAGCAAGTACCCGGGGTTTGCCGGAGACAGATGAGTGTGCGCGAACTGACCAGGGCATCCTAAACTCCCCGCAGACCTGTGTCCACCCTGATACCCCAAAGCTGGAGAGAAAGCCAAAGAGCCAGTGCTAAACCCCAGTTTCTCGTGCGGAAAGACAGTGCAGGTAGAGCGGCTCTGCTCCACGAATTGATGCTGCGCAGCAGCGGATGATGAATGAACATCTCGTGGTTTTTCCGAGTCACTTTGGCCGACAAGCGGTAAAGACAGCACCATGTCCTTTCTCAGGAGCCCTTTAGGTTTGCGTCTCGGTCGGTATTTGTAGTCTGGATGCTCCCTCATGTGTTGCGCACGCAGTCGTTTGGCCTCGTCGATGTATGGTCTTTTTTCAGAGTCGGAGAGCCGCTTCCACTCAGCCCCGAGTCTCTTGCTGATCTCCGAGTTGTGCATCTTTGGGTTCTCCAGGGCCATTTGTCTTCTCTGACCTCGAGACCAAACCATGAAGGCGTTCATTGGTCTCTTGATGTGCTCCATGGGCTGCTTCACCATGTTCATTAAGTTCATTTGTGTGAAACAGCAATAATTAACTTGCTATGACACCTCAAAGTCTATTAAAGTCATGTGTGGAAGGAGACAGTGGCGGACTGTCCCGCTGTTTGAATGGCAGGATTGTGTTTTTTGGCTACTTACACTGAAGTATGTGAGAAAGAGCGATTGGTTTGAGAGATTTTTGTTTTAAATGTGCGTGAAGTGAAGAAAGCTTTGCAGATAAAAGCGCGCGCGCTCGGGCGCATCATCACCACTCGGGACCAATGAGCGCGCGGAGACAGAGAGAGAGAGAGAGAGCGGTAAATGCAGTTAACAATGACACCGGAAAATCAGTAGTTTCTGCAAGAAAATGGATTCAATGAAATTAAGATGACTTTAAAGCTGTGTGTACAAGTTTAGGTAAGCTACTGTCAACCCAAAACACACACACACACACACACCCGCACACACACACACACACACACACACACACACACACGCACACACACGATGCTGGAGGATTTACAACAAAAGCTGTCATAAGCACAATATGTCCATAAACTTTTCATCTCGACAGTTTAGCTTATAAGTTAGGCTACATGAATGCAGGGAAAGTTTATAATCTGTGACCATTACTTTTATTATAATAATTTTTCTTATTCTTGCTTTGGTGATTTTCCATGAAGAATAATTCATTTAGCAGACTCCAAACATTATCTGTGGACTCACAATTCATTTAAGCTCATAATAACTCTTAAAAAGGATTATAAATATGTATTTTTCCAATGTAGGTGGTTCATTCCGCTGTGGCGACTCCTGATAAACGAGGGACTTAGCTGAAGGAAAATGAATGAATGATTTTTGTGATGTAACCCGTTCAAGTCAAGCATATTTTGGTAACATTTCAATAAAGTTAATTGTTAAAGTAGTTAATTAATTCAATTCAACCTTTGATAGTATCTAAAGCTTCAGTTAATCTGTCATTGTTTATTTAACATTATTACATTAGAATAATAGGATTTATCTTTATATTATATTATTTAACCTACCCGAACTAACAATTCATTTTAGATTAGTACATAAATCAAATTTAAATGATTAATTTCTTTCATGATAATTTCTATATTTAAATATGGAAACATTTGTTTAAAAGTTTATATTTAATGACATTAACACCTAAAATTAACAAGCAATAACATTTGTATTTTTTTAAAATAACATTATCAAATTGCGGCATCACGGTGGCTCAGTGGAAGCACAATCGCATCACAGCTAAACAAGTCGCTGGTTCAAGTCCCCACTGGGCCAGTTGGCATTTCTGTGTGGAGTTTGTATGTTCTCTGCATGTTTGCGTGGGTTTCCTCCGGGTGCTCATATTTCCCCCACAATCTAAAGACATGCACTATAGGTGAACTGAATCAGCTTAATTGTCTGTAGTGTATGTGTGTGAATGAGTGTGTATGGGTGTTTTCCAGTAATGGGTTGGAGCTGTAAAGGCATGTTTCCACTGTCATCTGTTTTTAATATACAGAGAAGAGACCGTAATATAATGATATTTTCTGAATTGACCATTATAAAACTGATCTGAATTGTTAAGTATCCAAAATGCATGAGAATGCCTAAACAACTGCATTGAATATGGCATGAGAAAGCGTGTTGGCCATGAATAATCTTTCCATGTCAAAAAAAACAGATCTTTTCCTAATGTATGTCTCGAGTCCACTGCGGGCGTGAATTGTTCAGATAAATGAGAGGAGCGTGAACTGACCACAGGACAGCTGGTGATTTGCTGTGTCCAGCATGAGATTTTATTTTCTGCACTGAGGGATTTCTGACACAGGAGGGCACTGATCATGCTGTGAAGCTGATTGCTTTTTATTTGCCTTTTACAGACAGATAATATGCTCATTGTAAGAGCTACCAAATCTATATCCTTAGATGCCTTCTTTTATTTCCTCACTTTTGCAAGGATGCACCTTAGCATGCATCTCCAAATATACGGCTGTAGAGCTTTCTATTATAGCATGAGGTTGATATATATCAACTTTATGTAATTGCGTAAAATGTTTACTTAAGGGTGCCCTATAAAGAAAGTATAGTGGAATAATAAGAGACCAGTTTGTGGAAATGGCCATACTGTGAGCCTTAAACACCATTGTTTCCTACTTCTCATGTAAGTTACGAGAGTAAAACCCTGGTGAAAAGTAGGCCAATCACAATACAGACAGCTGCATTGCGCATAAGACATGCCAGTCAAGTAAAATGTAGGCTATACGATTACAAATTTATTTATCTCTATCCTGAAGAGGCGGAATTTATGTTTACTTGTATCTTTTGTTGCAAAATTTGCCACGATTGCAATGAATCAACAAACACATAGACTGCAGGTAAGTGCAGCACTTAGTATAAAATGCACATTTAATAATGGTGATCACAGAAGATATGTCACTTGTAGAGTTTGAAATGGAGAAAAATGTAAGAGTCACTATGGCCGTCCTAGTGAAGGAAGCCTCGATGTCAAGTAAAGGGGCCAATCATTGATTGCTATAGACTGATGATTCACTAGTCCAGGGGCCTCATGTACGAAGACTTGCGTGGAAATCTTACTAAAACATTGCGTACGCACAAAGCTGTAAATGTGCGTACACAGAAAAAAATTCAGATGTATGAAACACTGTGTACGCTGAATCTCATGCATATTCTTTTGTACATCCGAATGAACGTGAAACTGAGCGCAACATGCACGAGCACAAAACCCCTCCCTGCCTCCTCCCCTGTATGAATATGCTAATGACTCTACTTTGGCAAAACCCAACGAAAAAGCAATGGCAAAAGCAAGCAAAAAGAGAAACTTTGAACAGAATGTGAATTGGAGGTGCTGCTTTCGGAGGTAGACCGGAGAAAAGCGGTGTTATTTGCAAGTTTGTTCTCCGGAATTAACAAAAGAAAAAAAAAGTGGGAGAGTTTAGCTGATGCGGTTAACACAGTTAGGTCTGAACATTGGGTCTGGGGAGTGAATTTAAAAAGAAATAGTGTGGTTTATAGGTGTAAAATGTTGCAATTCCCACAACAGTCTCAGTGGCGCAGCTCGTAAGACTCATGTCAATATGCTTTGTCACATTGAAGCATGAACTCGGTTCGAATCTAGCGTCTGATGAAGTCTTTCTTTTCCCCCCCGCTACATATCAGATTTTGGCAACTATTTATCACGAGAAAGACAAGTAGGAATCATCAATAAGTTTGTGCATTCTATTTTATTTGCACATTTGTTGAATGGAAATGTTTCTGATTCACGCATGCAAATTCATCTTCAGATAGTGTCTTTATAGCAATGTGCGTGCAGTAGATAGCTCAGATTACATGGGGAAAACAGGCGACCGCTGCAAATTGTGCTTTAATGTTTAGCTGGTCAACTGTATGGTATGGAAACCTTATATACCTGCTAGATGAACCTATCTCATACAGCTGCCATTGCAAGGCTCAGACACTTTGTAGAGAGCAATTTAACACAACTGCCTCTAGGAGCCGCCAATGGAAATAAAACAGACACGCACAAAAAAATGTGCGTATGCCAGCCAGAAAGCTGGCATGGAGCTGCGCATATTCCCACGTTCAGTTCATCGTTAGTAAATCCAAACGTGAGCGTTTCTGAGCATGAAACCTGGCGTACGCAAAGTTTTTGTGCGTACGCAGCGTTGATACATGAGGCCCCAGGAGTTTGGTCTATACTGGTAATTTCAGAGTACATCAGTGTGCGTGTGAGTGAGATAGGTATAGAGTCAATCTAGTGCCATATATACTTGCAAAATGAAAGAAAGTTTTGTGAACAAAAAATCAAGTATTAAGCAAAATTAATTTTGAGGAATAAAAAATAAATTTGCTAGCAAAAATAAAGAACTACAAAGTGAAAATAAACATTTACCGCAGGCCCAGACCTACTAGGTTGTAAGACCACCTCGGTGATACTGGGCTCTATTTTGACGGTTTATGCGCAGAGTGCAGGGCGCAAACGCTTTCAGGGCGTGTCAGAATCCATTTTTGCTAATATAAGGACGGAAAAATCCGCTTTACGCCTGTGGCGAGGGGGCATGGCCGAGAGCCGTGGGAACGGAATGAGGCCGCGTGTAAGTGGATCCACCTGTGGTGCGCACCGGTCTTGAATCCCACGGAAGGAGCTCTGGACTATAAGAGGAGGAACGATGGAAGAGGAAGCCGAGAGAGGACCGGGCCCGGGCATATTGTTTTACTTTTGTTTTGAGTTTGACGGCAGTCTCTGTGAGGAGCTGCCGTCCGTTTGTTTTGGTTTAGACGGCAGTCTCCGTGAGGAACTACCGTTCATATTATAAATAAATATTTTAAAACTACGTCGGTTCTCCGCCTCCTTCTTCCCGGCGGCCAAAGGGTCGTGAACTTCATTACAACGCCAGGGCGCATGGTCTAAAAGGGTTGAGTTTATTTTCTTAATGAGTTATAGGTGTGTTTTGAGAATAAACAATCAGAGTCTCATCTCCCATTCCCTTTAAGAGCCAGCTGCATCGCGCCATTTGCTATTCACTTGACGTAAAGTAAGTGTAGGTGGAAAAACTGAGCATTTCACTAGCAGGAAAACAGTTAAACAGAGCATCTACAGCGCGAAAATGAGAGATAAGGCATCTCATAATCTACTTTCACTTTCGCTCTCGTGGTTAAAGGGAAACCTTGTGCGCACAGACATCAATTAGCCTATAAATAATTAATTTCGTTTGTTAAGCGCAAAGATTTATTTCAAAAGTATTTCTAAATTCAGTTTTAATTTCCACCAAATGAAGAAATAAACAATAATAACGAAGTGTGTTCAAAACCCTGAGTTATATCCTAATACACATGCTGTGCCCCATATCTAAAACCTGACATGTGGACAAATCTAAGCTTGTTTTAAAAATATATATATATATATATATATATATATAAATATGGATATAATAAATAATACTGCTAATAATGATAACATTATACAAAAGCAAATTGAATGAACTGAAAAGTCTCCCGAGATGAAGAAAGTATCAGTGGTTTTTAAATTCATGCTAAAAAAGAATGTTTTGTAATATTTTAATCCTTTATATTTATATCCTATATATATCCTTATTATATCCTATATATATATTCTTAATATTTTATATCTTTTTCATATGTAAAGATATTTGTGTATTGCTCTACATCTTGTGTGTATTAAACAGTGTGTAAACCAGGCGCACTCTGTGCCAGACAACAGACCGGCTTTGTTCTGGTCTAAAGAACAGACTAGT